TCTTTCATCTTTTTTCTTGGTTTGTTTCCCTTCTTGTTCCCACATACACACATACAAAAAGTAACTGCATATCCTCTGATCAGACATTGTACTTGACTGTGAATTTCAGAAAAGCACACAAATTCATTTGAAGTTGCAGTGTTATTTCATTCGGACTTCCACTGGTGTAGGGAGCAAAGTAAGTTGTTGCAGAAGAGGCTTTTGTAGTGTAGCACCCACCATCTTAAAGTGCAGAAAACTGGAAATATCCTGAACCTTCTGCTTTGCTCTTTGTATTCCTGTACGCGAACTGAACCATCAGTCTGCACTGCTTTGAGACAAACGTTCATGAATACAAGTTCTTGTTAATTATTTGATAATTATCTTTTGCTAACTACGTGCTAATTTGTCTCCCTTCCATGTATGCCTTTCATGCAAGAATGCAAACATAAAGCTTTGAGTCCTAGCAGCTGTGTTGCACTGCCTCGAAGCAGCGTGACCCTTTGTTCTTGGCCTTTCCAAATACCTGAGTTACCTGAAAACCGTGCAACTGGGAGCTACTTCTCTTTATATAGTGACAGGTTTCCGTTTAGTGCAGATCTAGGATGTGGAGAAAAAGCTAGGCTTATGGAGTTGTCGTGTCTGGCTGTTTCACCTGTGGGTAATGAGTGTTTGCAGAGGACGCATTCTTCCATAGAGATGAGAAGGGACCAAGTTGTCCCAGTTAACTGAATGCTTTTTGGACAGAGGCTGGATCAGTCTCTTTTGGATGGAATAACTTTCGTGTTTAACTCTCTGGGGATGTTTCCACCAGTAGAGTGCTGAGCCTAAAGTGCTTGTGAAATGCACCTCAGTGGAGACGAGTTCTTGAGCTTCTGCTTTTGCCCATAAAGATGGTCAATTGTAGTACTGTAGGAACTGGGAGTCTTGAGGCTACCACGTAGAGGGTTCCTGTGTGAATTATTTTTACATGTTCACGTAAATGGTGTTAGAGTTCGCACTTAACTTTTATGTACTCTCTCCTTTCTGAAGAAAATATTTTATAATGGAAGACGCTTAATTTTAAAATTGTATGTATAATTGTATGTAATTATATTAAGATACACTGTTCTGCTGAATTTTTCATTCCTTAGTAGTTGGAATGCCAGTATATTGATCTGGACAAAGATCGGGTGTGAAGTGATGGTAGCATGTTTCCCATACAGGAAAGCATGTTCCGCAGAGAGCGAGTAGAAGGGAAAAACAGAAAACAGAGAGAGAGAGAGAGCAGGAACAAGGACAGCTCTGGTTGCCAGGGCATGAACATTACTTCCGTTGTTGAACTTACATGCCTAAAGAGAAGGCCTATGCCTGAAAAGGCCCTGAACAGAAAAGCAGTGCTGATCTCTAGCTGCAAGCTAGAAGCACCAGAAAAGCTTGAAGGGCTAAAAACAGTCTTGCTAGCATTGATTTCTATGCTACTGCACAACTCTTTCTTGGATGATGAGTTTCTGAAATTGTTTCCTTGGATGCTCAGCTTGACGTGCGTGCGCAAAGTGGCAATAGAAGAGCCTAAGGTAGTGTTGAAATCGACCTTTTCCTACTCTGTTTCTCTCGAGAAAAACACCAGCTCCTTCCTGTTCTTCTGCTGTCTTGCATAGGCAGTCATTGCAGCAAAGAAATCATTTCAAGCAAATATATTAAGAAATAAATCTGTTAATACAAAATCAGTTTGTAGCACTCGGCATCTTTGAAATCAAGCTGATACTGACGAAAATAACCTTTTTGTTTGGCTGAGATGGCTTTACTGAGTTTGAATTAAACTGCATATCTGAAAAGAAACCATATCTAGACTCTCCTATTTAGCACGATTCACAAACCCCTAACTCTGTTGCAGAGTTGTTTTTTATTTGCAGCAAACTTCTTCTATCTATAAAAAAAATTTCTCCCACTACAACAGTGTCAGCGTAAGCTGCCCCCTTGTGCTCATATCTCTCATGAACCTGCCTCTTGAATGAACTGTGTCAGCAGTGCTGAAAAGGTTAGTCCAGATTGCGAGTTAGAGGCCTTTTTTTCCAGTGTCTTGCATCTGTTGTGATCACTTTTCACCTGAAATTTCACCTGGTTTAATTCACTCAAATCAGAAATCAAACCAGAAATAGCATTTCATAAGCCACTTGGTTAAAATGTGCATTGGCCACACAAATAACATTGTTGTTGAGAGCAAAGTGGAAAGCTCCAAGCACCTCATTTTATTGTTCTGGTCAGAGTTCCTTGAGTTCACCATTAATTGATTAAACTCCTGAAGAGCATCATGTTGGTGACTTACCTAATGAGGTGCTACAACTGTTCTTTCATCTCTTTTTCTTAGTTTGTAAAGCTCATTCTATGGGCTTGCTGTTGGTCAAAAGTGGCAATGTATTTTTTTTTTTTTTATTTCTAAGAATATTTTCACTAATAGTGCACAGCAGTGCATATGTGCTACCTCTTCTCCTCTTTGCTGAAACCTTTGGTTGGGTTTGCAGAAAGCAGCAATTGCTTTTCTGCATTCCGAAAAGTGATGGAGTTTGCATGTGAGAGTGGAAGTAGCCAAGTAAAAACTGCTATGTTGAAGGAAGGGGATAAAATATAGCCCGAGTATCCTCTGAAACAGAAAACACACTTGTTTTTTTGGGGGGAGGGGGGGCTGGATGTGGGGAGCCAACCAGAGATTTCAGTTAGGATCTCTTCTACTCCTTCTGATTAGTTGTTTGCTAGCTAAAACTCATCTCCCTTTCTGTTGTATTCCATGCTGCCTCTTCTGCTTTCTTAATTGCCTCTTCCCGGAGTTGCGGAGCTGATATTAGCTTTGGTAGCATAGGCATACTGTTAGCTTTGCTGGGCTACTGTGCCTCTTAATCTGTGTTGGTGTTATCATTATATAATAAAAACTCTCTGGGGTGTGTTTGTGAAGGAAAATCCCATTCTTCATTCCCTAGTATGGACTGCCACTTTAGCCAAAAAAAAAAAAAAAAAAAAGCACGCTTCCTCACAGAAGACTGTGTTTCACCATTAAGGATTTCCTGTACTCCCAGTTGAGTGTTAAATTATCTCAGACCTCTTTTAACTTCTGAAATAAAAACCTTGTTTTGTTCTTGCCTTTTCTGAAAGGCTGTCGTCTGTTCAAGGAATCTGCCTGCGTTATCTACATCTTCAAATGAGGGTTTTCTGGGAGACCATGGTGTAGGTGTTAACATCTTGCCTCAAAATCTGAAGAGTTAAAATAGTCATTGGCATTATTGCTGTTGAAGAGCTCTTCCTAGTTAGTCTCTCTGCCTTTGTTGTTGTTTGTTTTTTGAAGTATTATTGCCCATTTTCTCAAGCTGACTTTCCCTATTTCTCATAAAGAAATATAAGAAAAAGATAAAAATCTTTCTGTATCTTTCTTTCCCTTTTAGGAACCTCTTAAGAATGCCTCATTTGATATCACCTGAGAATCACGTCTGGGTTATCATGCATCCTCGCTTTGCTGGGTTTGATAAATAAAAAACTCCCAACAGGGCACTTGCTAGGTCCCTCCCAAAACTCACTATCCTACTTTTCAATAATTTCATCTTTTTTCTTTTTAAATGATTTGTGAGCTGCTTTTTCCAGACCATAAAACAATACTTCTCTTTCAGATCAACCTGAATGTTATATTTGGAATATTTATGTAATAAAATGGAGGACTCATGGGGGGTGAGGGGAGGAATAAAAGTAGACCTTTTTGAGGAAATCCTTGCAAGACTTTCTGAAACGGTTCCTGTTTGTTTTTCTTCAGTCAAAAACACGTACTCTGAACATTAGAACTTATTCTTTTAAATTTTCTCTTACTTTCTTGCTCATGAAAGACCAAGGTGCTGTTAAGTAAGCAAAGGTTCCTTTTGTGAGAAGATGCAGGATCGAGTCTTCCATTACAGACAAACTGGAAGCTGTTGGCAAAGATTTGTGCCCAGTTGTGGCTGGCCAAATAACAGGCCTCTCTAAACCGCAGGAAGCAGACAAGCCTTAGGTATGTGAAGCAGCTGTTAAAGATGCAGACTTTAAAAACAAACAAAAAACGTAGTCATTGGTGAAGTGCCAGGTATGTGGAAGTGAGGCTCAAGGTTTTGGAAATAAAGAAGCACCTGAGGAAGAAACACTAAAGGAAAAATTTAGATGAGGCTTTCCAGAAGCTCACGGAAACGGAGAGCGGGCTCTGCGGCACCCTGCGTGGATCCCAGGGAGGAAGTGTATGGGAGGCTGTTCCTGTAGTTATTTGTCACCAGATGTTTGGGATAAAAAAAATGGATGATAAAAGTTTCAAGGAAACAAGAGATTAATTGTGAGGGAGTGATTGATAGCTTCACTCTTCTGAAACATGAGTCGCATTTATTAAGCTAAAAGGAGAGTCTGTGTCTTCTCTGCCAAGCATTCACGAAAGGAACGATACTGGTAGCTTGTGTCATGTTGCACTCTGCAATGGGTCCATACCGCCTCATGTTATTTGAATTGCATAGCCAGACACAACATTCAGAGTTTGCAGTGATGATTTAAAAAAAAAAAAAAATCCTTTTAAAGGAAAGTTTAGTAGAAATGCCTATTTCAAAGTCTGTGTATTTTAGGTTATTTACTTTGCTCGCTTGAAAACATCCTACTCTTTGAATAGAGATCAACTTTTGATTCAATGTTATTAGTCGATATAGCAATTGGAACGTGATGGGCTTGCCTGAGTTGTTTAGAAATCAAGCTGGCATCTAAACTTTGAATACTTATAATATGGAGGGGAAAAAAAAACCTCTTGGCTTCTTTTTTCTTAGTTTCCTATATACGCTTTTTCAACAGTTTATTCCTGTTATAGTTCACTGAGCTGGAGCAGGATGGCACAGAGCAGTAATTAAAGTATGCTGGTATCCATCTGCCTAGTGGCTCTTCTGCTTTGGTGCCTTTCTGTCTGTAGGCTGCATTGGCTGTGAGCAGACTAACAGACGGACTTCCCAGTCAGGCTCCAAATCCTAACGTTTTGTCATCTTTATCTCTTGCAGACTTCTGAAGCCTCTGAAGTGGTAATCCTGGAGCGGTGCTGGGTTGTGGAGTTCAGGAATAAAACAGATGTTTCAATAGTCCTCAGTAAGTAAGACACAGCTTAGTGTGTTCAACATGAATGTTTTATTCCTGTCAAACAAACAAAAGCAGCAAAATCCCAGACTTTGAAACTTTGTTAAACAGTTTATTAAACACTTTTTTAGCTAAACTGTTGTCTGTTAAAGATGCCTGCCTCTATATCCTGCTCATCTTTGTGTTCATTCCTGAAAAGAAAGTGATAAAAGCCCTCTTTTTCTAAAATCAAATGAAAGTCGTGTCCTCTTCTGATAAGTATGTTCGATGATTGTGTTTATTAGGTATGATGTACTTATGGGTTTCATATTGATGCATAGCCATTTCACGTTTTTATTGAATGATTAATAATTGTCAACCTTCCTATTAAATGAAGGGGGTTTTTTTGGGGGG